CTCTGGATGAGGCTGCATGTTTCTATACTCATGCTCCATTAAATTTCGGCGTCCCTCAATGATCCGTTGCAGTTGTCCCCTGCATATCCAAAGAATTTCAAATTATACGGTTTTCCCTCTGGGGTCTCACATCCCCAGCAGGCCACCTGCACAGATAATAGCTAGAGGATGCTCTCTCACAATTACGGATACGGGAGTGATGTGATGAATACAAGCTGCAGCTGAGTATCATCAACAACACACCCAAGTACCCATAATTAGAGGAAAGAGCCTCCTCAAGGCTGTTGTAGCATTAATATGACAGTTACCAAAAGTATAGGGTGAAAGGATCTCTTTGGCTCCCTGGTTGTCCCAGCAGTTGCCATAGCAACCAATAATGTACTGCACGTTTTGCATCGGTGACCAATAAATTGCAGATATCTGTTTACTGAAAAAAAATATAACCAGATCACTAAGTTAAAACTCGAAATGTAAAAAAAAAAATGCTTTAAAAAAATAAAGGGAATGTACTGATTTTTCTGAATAGTGCTACACACTGAGCATGTTGATGCCTCAAGGGAGAAAAATAGTAACAGCAAGCTGCTATAACATTTCATTGTATGGTGCCATGTTGAGTCCCACTCATGTTTCAACTCTGTGCCTTCAGTCTGCTTATAATCCATCTTCAGTCCCTATCATCACTCATTTAGCACGCACTGCAAAGAAATTCAAACATATGCTGTGTAATCAGAGGACATAGTTGCTCGATTTATGGACAATTCTCCATAAATCGATCATTTTGAGGGGAGAATGATCATTTCCTATTAGCCCTACTGTACTAAACTGAGTGCAATTCATATCGAGGACACTCTTATGATAAGGAGTGAATGGACCTAAATGGATTAAAGTAGACCTGTTTGGATTTTCCTCATTTTCTTTTATATATACGGTTACAATATTTGATGTACATGAACATGAGCAAAGTTTCAAATGAGTCTGGCTCTGTATAAAGAGCATATCCCTACATATGCCTAATATGGTCATCTCAGGTAAACAGTGTGCACAACAGTAGCAACAACCTACTGCTCATTTTTTGTTTTTTTGAGGGTTGCCAACATAACTGACTTAATGGGAAAGACAGAGACGATAAAATGAGCCCAGTACAAAGTAAAGAACGGTTATTTTGAACTCAAAATCTTGCTAAACTGCTCTTCTAGTGGTACTGGAGATAAAAATAAAAACATAAGGCTCCCACTTGGTTGAGCAGGCAGCCCAGATACTGAAGGCTAAGGTCCTATAACATCGTATAAGCACCAACTACTACATTTCTGGTACTGTTACATCCTTAGATAAAAGCTAATAGTAAAAGAAAATAAAGGATTGAATTCAGTGTAAATTAATAAGAACATGAAGATTGCCACCTGGTTTACCTTGTTTTTGTTTTTGTTTTTGCAGCTATAGATCTAACTTATTTTAATACATTTTACTGTCATGTTTATGGAGATTACAGTAAGAAAACCAAAGAAACCAACAGATAACACTATTATACTCCACTGCAGTACTTTACATTAAGAAGCTGTTGTTCTTGTTTAAAGGAAAATTGTAAAATAACAGTTAAAACCTTGGTAATCTAGCAGCCAGTACTTTACTGTTATTGAAAACCGTGGCTTGTCACAAGATGAGCTTCTAACATAATCTGACATACAACAAGCACAAACTTTTGGGTTTAGGGTTTAGTTTAATATGAAAATCTAAACTCTCAGTCTCTTCTCCACTGAGAAGAATAACAGTTCAGAGTAAAAAACCCAAGAGAGACTCGATAAGGGCTCAAGTGGGACCACAAAACTGTTTGGACACTCGCTGCTGAAAAGTGGAACTGTCTTACTCTGTTCTCAAGGAAAAAACAAGGTTTTATTTCTGTCAGGCTGGAAAACAGTAATGTGCAAGGCCAGAGGGAGTACTTCAACTAAAGCTACAAAAATACAAAACTAGAAGAGTAGTTTGCTTCTCCTTCCAGTTATTCATCCGAGGGACTAATCAGTCATAAGCCAGATGTGCTGCTGCAATGCAGCAGAGCTCAACCTTAGGCTCAGGGCTCCCTGCGGACGCATGCGGTGAGGCTGTAGTCACAAAAGTTTCTCCATTAAGTTAACAGGATATAATACAGCACTTTTCTCTGTAGGGCTGTGTACTTTTGGTGTTGTACCTGGCATTTCATTTAGCGTGGCTGGCATTCTTTCAAGTTCTAAGTTCTCACTTTATCCTCTGCAAGCTAATGAGATCAGAATTAACTTCAAACTGCAACCTTAGCTGACTGCTACAGTCTCATCTCACTTTTATTATTATTATTCAACTGTAGCATTATTCAACTAAGTAAAAGGTCTAATTATAATTAGGGTTTCCGAAAGTTTACTTTAGACCATTATGAATGTTATTGAAGTCCTAATTCACATCTATAGTTGTAAGAAAGGGAAAATGGAGTCCCAAAGAGGCTTGAAGAGTAAACAAATGAATTTGTCTAGTCACAATTGGTCGGCATGGTTTAACTCATTAGCCCTACTAGGAGTATATTGAAGCTCTTTTCCAAACTGAGTAGTTTCTGTAATAATGTCTTATCTTTATGGGGGAAAGAGTTAAAGCAATTGACATCTATCAGCTCTGTTTTTCTTTGACTGGTGTTAAGTCATCATGTCCCAAGTCCAGAACATCCCTGATCTTCCTGTTAGTGTTCAAACATTGTCCCCAAAGAAAGATATAAGAGTTAAAATTGTTGCTACAGAGTGAGTTATACATGGGTTGCACTTGGTAATGGTCCTAATGTAAATATAGAACATTATTGGGCGATGGGAAACATCGGCGGCATCTTTTGTCCACTTCAAGTCTTTCTGACTTGTTGACAGTAACTCTGTTTCTTTTTTCTTTTTTTTGCAAAAGTTTGCAAACTGGGTTTTTCCAACTGTTCTTGTTGAATGCTCTCATAACAAGAAGATTTTTAACTTCTACTTTTTTAATCCTTTTTTTGATCGAAAGTTGCTATTTTTGTTTTATGGGAGGAGATATTGAGCCAGCCCACACACCAGATTCTGACACAAAAACTACAGCAGGTTCTGACTAAGCCACGCAACTTTTATTCGTCGTTATTGCATCCATATTGCTATTTTTGTTTTAGTGTAATCATTACAATAACATTTAAAAGACTGAATGTGCAATCAACTCTCTACAACATTAGCTTCCAAAATTCAATACATTTTTATGACCCGTCAAATGAGACATTTTAAAGGCTTAAACTTTAGACGATTGATAGCATTTTAGACTCAATTTTAGGACCCTAAGGACTCTGCAATATACCCTCCATATGACCATTATGGGAAAAGTTGTAAACTGTGCTTCCAATTCACTAAGCAGCTTTCAGTATGTTGAGCTTTGCATCTGACAGTACTGGAAATGAGCCCACACTTGGGTGCCTCCTAATTAACCGGGCTTTCCTTTACTCTCCCTTGGACATGTTCGGAGAACTGTTCCAAGATGACCATTAATTTAAATCAAAGCTAATTTCACAAATTTAATTTAATGTCTCTAAAATGTCTTTAAAAGGAGGGACTCTATTCATCCCTTCACATGACTTGCATTTTAGACTCAAGCTACTGTACCAACAGTGTCTTACAAACTGGGCATCTCATCAAGGGCTTGAACTCCACATGACAACGGACAGATTTGCTTGTTGCCTCTGCCAACAAGGTTATATGACTGGTTCAGTTTGTCTGTTTGTTAGAATGATTACTGAAGGTTACAAAGAGACCGGAGTGAAAATCTTACCAGAGATGGTGCCTTGGCCAAACAAGTGATTTTTCGAGTCGATCTGGATGTAGATGTGGATTCAGGAATTTTTGAAGACGATTTTTATAATCCAAAACTGAGCATTATACAGAAACTACAAGACAACAACTTGACCAAGGTTGTGTGTTGCTTAAGCATGAAGGTTGTGAAGAGACTGCAAAGCTCTGCCAAGGCTGAACAATCTTAGTCACCTTATATTTCTGAGTGAAGAGTACTCAAAAGTTCTGCCAAGGTTTGACCACTTATAGATATTTTATGTGAAAGATTTCTGTCTGGGCATCTCTCACTGGTTTCAAGTTCTCACAAATTTCTCCACAGCCAGTCAGAATTATCAATGTTATTATCAAAAAGGCTGCTCAGAGGTCGTTCAAGCATGTTGCTAGCCATTCTGTCAATCACACTACATCTTTACAGGCCTTATGGAGCAGATAAGCTGGGTTTTTAAGACTATAACTCTTAATAAATCATACCTGCAACTTTAGCTTTACTATTTAATCTTTTATATAAATACCTTCGTGTTAAAAGTTACCCTTAACTGTGTGTCCTTCAAAGCCTCGGCTCATTTTGCACAAAATAATTTGCTTTGAATGAGGAATAGGATGGGAACTGTGTCATTATCATTACTGTCAATGAACACACCGGAATCCATTCTTCACTCTTCTTACTATTCAAAGCTAATCCATGTACATGCAACTGCAGTAGTGCAGACATTCAAATACAAGTATGCTATTGGGGGGGGTAACTTCACAATTTGCATATACTTCAATCAGCTGTAAAAGAAGGAAAAAAAACAAAAACTGTACCTTTGTTTCAGAGACCGTATCCCTGAGTGTGACAGTACTGTGCGTCCTGCCATCCTCTGCTATTGTTCAGCACGGGTACTAATTTATTCACGGAAGGTTTTGTGTCTTCATCTATTCATTTTATTGACTGACAGCCGAGAAAGGCTAAGCCTGCTGGTGAGTGCTAGGATTATTTCATAAAGCCAAGGCCCACAGCAGCCAATACCAGCATTTGTTTAACTTTTCTGGGCGAAATAATAAAATAAAACCACCAGTTGGTTGGTTTTGTACCCCTAAAACCCCTCCGAGTTGCTCAGTCACTCAGGAAATGAGTGATGAGCTTATTATTGCTCGACTCTGTGTGGGTGGATACGCTTTTGTGCATACACGCTTTACTCTTACCTTGCGGCCGTCGCTCGCATGGCAGTTGACGTTGAGCGGCGTAAGCAAGGCCATTAGCTTCTCCTCGTTTCCACTCCTGCAAATGCACACACACATACATAAACACACAAACGTTAGACAGAAAACAATCACTGCCACCACAGAGGATTAGCACCGTTGCTCTGCAGCAGTATGGAGGAGAGAAAATGAGGGAAAATTAGATAAGAAGCTTGAGATTGAGGCAAAAAGCCTGAGAAATTTGATCTGCAAAAACGTACTGGCAGAGGAAATGTTTGGAGGATGGACCGATGCTGGATGGACTAGTGTTTTCCTGCACAATTGAGTGCAATATGCCATGAAAATCAATTAGAGATGCCTCTTTGGCCACCTAGCTAAAGAGGAATTAAGATTTTGTCTGTACTGCTGATCTGTGTTTCCTGGTTCTTGGACTGACTGGCCTGACATTGGATGACCACCAGGAAGTGATGCCAAGGCAGCAGCCAATCCAACTACCATCCACTCCGACAGCCATAAAATAAGAAGCTGTCAGTTGGTTTAAAAAAAGGATTACTGTCCCATTCTTCCATGTTCCTCTTTAATTCTTTTATCCCTTCTTTGATTGGACGTCTCCTTCCTTCTCTTTGTGTCTATATTTTTCATACTCTATTTTTAAAAAAAACACCAAAAAAAAAACAACAAAACATTCACATCCAGTCCTTCTCCCAGAGTGAAGTTTCCATGTTTCCTCACTCTCGTAGCTGCTTTTCACCCCATTCCAACCACCATTACCTCCCATCTCTTAGTTCTCCCCTCCTCATAGTTATCTCCTCTATTTTCCTCCTGCTCTCTTCTTCTGCAATTTTTCCTGTCCACCTCTAGTTCCAGTATGCAGTGGCTTCCCCTTTTTCCTTCTATTTCTTTTCCAAGGACTGTTAGCAAATACAAGAGAGACTTTCTTTTTGATGCATGATGTGTTGGATATTTGTTTACACTGTGGCCATGAATATTATCTGAAATTAGTCAAAAATTGAAGGAATATCTCACTATTTTCTGAAATATGTTACGCTGCTTTCTTGCCACTATCAGGAAGTTACACCCAGCAGCTGACTGCAAAAATAAAAAAAGAATAAGCCAATAAATTTCTCAAACCATTTAAGTTGATTAATGGACCAGCTTCTGGCTATGTCTCTTAATGTTTTCAGAAATGCAGTTCTTTTACACTCACAGCCCTGACTAAAGCAACAGCCCACCTGCAACTTACATCCAACTTTCATCCTGTTAAAAAGGTTCCAATGCACTTAATCTGTATGTTTAAAGCATGTACGCTCCACCATTAAAACCTTATAGTAGTACCGTTGTTGCCTATTAGCTACAAGAAGCTAGCAGGGTTACAAACAGTTTATCGTTGTGGTTGTTTTTGCAATATGGTGTGTGCCAAAGTAACATCACAGTTGCTGGTTGTTTTGGCAACTAGTACACCTCCTGATTTTTCTAACGTGGCATGCTACATGTAATGCAGCTGATCGGTGGGTATGATTGAGCTATTGATCAGTGAAAATAAGATTTTGGCACAACTGCTGAAAAGGAGAATTTCCTGTTTTGCCTGTAGTGCCAACGAGGTGAGGAGTGACACTTATTGTTTCCCTCCAAGTAGCATCACCATCATCATCAGATACCATTTTACAGATCACCACAGAGTTTCTTGTCAGCTGACTGATGGCCTTAAAGGGACAGATTTGCCTCACTGGGCAGACATCTTTCTGCATCAGCTGCCTTGTCTAATATTTGCTGTCACATACATTAAGAATATATAGAGCCACTGCACTCCTCAAGAAAGCTATCCGGCCCATAAATGAAAAGGTTAAAAACAAAAGAAGAGAAATTTAAAAAAAAAAATTTTCTTTTGCTCGCACACGCGCACACACACACGCGCGCGCACACACACAACACACACGCGTGCGCACACACACACACACACACACACACACACCAAGAAAAAATAAAAACATTCTGGAAAATTACATGTGTGATAAGCCAGTCAGTGGCTCAGCTGTGAGAGCGCCACAGTGGGATCACAGTTCACACTTAAACAGCCTACTGACCCCATAATACAGTGGTAATGCTATACTGGGCCAGCTGCTGCCTTACGATTGTGTGTGTGTGTGTGTGTGCATGTGCGCGTGCATCTGTGCATGGCTGGAAGAGCGGGAGACAGGAGGGGGTCTACTGGAGCGATCAGCCACCCACACGCAATCCTAAATGAAAGCTTTTCCACTTCCACATGCCCAGAGATGGAAACAGGCAGACACACACAAGTGCACACACACACACTCACAGCCCACATGCACTGCCTGCAACCATAACATGCCTCCAAAATGCACAAGTGTCACTGGCTCAAAAGTACTGAGCTTTCTATATCTGAAAAACCTGTCTAGTGTGGGAGCTGAGTGTGTGTGCAAAAAAAAAAAAGAGGCTCAAGTGATAAACGGTTTGACAAATAGGAAGCAAAGAAAAGAAAAAAAATCAGGAGGCAAGTAAACAGAAGAGAAGAGAAGAGCATGAGTGACAGGAACATGCAGGAAATCAGAAATAAGAGAACTCTGATGGGAAACAACAAACGAGTGTGGAGGATGAAAAAACAACAACAACAACAGAGAAATAAAATAAAGGGTATCAGACGTGGAGGGCGAAAGGAGATACATGAAGAGTAGAAATGGGTAGGGGAAACCACAGCAGCGAGTCAAGCTGAGAAGAAAGTAAGCAGGGGAACAAGAGATGAGAGGGAGGCTTAAAGAGGCAAGAAAGCAGGAGAGGGAGCATGACAAAAATGAAAACAAAGAAGAGCATGCAGACTCTGGTACTCACCTTGCCGCCTCCAGCAGCTCATCCTTCTTGTATTCACCTAGATGGTTACAGAAGATCATGGTGTCAGACAACTGGCCAGTAACACACATCAACCACACACAGACACACATGATCAAGCGCAGAGAGGAGCCATGTAAAGACTCGCACACTGACTATTGGGGGAAGACACCATCTTTCTTTCTATCCCTCTCCACCCCCCACACCCCCTTCTCCACCTCCTCCTCTTTCTCTCCTCTCTGCTATTCTCACTCAGCGCGCACCCCTCTGGCTCCGGTTGCCGTGACGATGTGTTGCCGGCAGCGACCACAGCACGTTCATTGTTTGGGCGACGAGCGGAGGACCGACACACGCTCTGCCTCTATCCGCCCGTGCGTCTCTCCATCCTTCTCTCCTTCGCCGCGTTTGTCTCCGGTGTCTCGGCCGCTGCTCATATTGCTAACGAGCGTCCCACGTTCTCCATCATTCCTGTTCCTCTCTCAGTCACCCTCTCTCTCCTCTTTTTCTATCTCTGTCTTCCTGCCTCCCCCCCCCCCATGGGCTCAGGAGGCGCAGTTACCATTTAAAAAAAAAAAAAAAAAACTGAAATAAACAAACCCCTCCCCCTGCTTCCTCACCCTCTTGCGCTCCCTCTCGCATAGCCCTGCCTCCCTCATACACTATAGTCAAAACACTCACAACTTCCTCTATGTGTCTTTTCTGCCACTGAAACAGATGTTCTTGGGTGGGGGAGGAACACATCTGTAATACTGCTGGACTGACTTCCATATTTATTTATGCCTGTTTGGCATTACTGGCCCTATTTCAGGGTTTGTGGTTATAGATAACTGGGGACTAAAAATAAAATCACCAATTTTACAGTAATATTAAAATAAAATCATGGATAATAAAACCCCCTCTATAAAATCTTACCTACACATGAGTAAATACAAAAAACAATTTTATTCTTTCTTTTTTTAGCACAACAATGGGGAACGTCGATGGTATACCTGCTGCAGGTGTATGCCTTTTTGTCAGACTTTTTGTGCACCCATTTACTCCGTTGCTGTTTTTTTTTGTTTGTTTTTTTAAATGGCGGTTTTGAAGGAGTCAATCTCATGACTCATTGAGTGACTGGCCAACTGATGGCATGCAGTCTGTAGACATCACATTTTTGTACTTACTCAGGTCACTTGGAAGCCCTAGCCAAGCAAGAACTAAAAAAAAAAAAAAACACCTGGTACCAGGTACTACCTGCTAATGAAAACACCCACAAGAACCAAATTGAGTTGAGTCGAGCTGAACTTATGGGGACCATGCAGGAGCGCTGACCAAGCATGGGGAGCACGGGCTTGGTCAGCGCTCCTGCATGGTTTCGGCTCGTCTTCGGTTAACCCCCATCAACATATTCCATGAGGTCAGCCCAGCTAATTGAAGCCAGGGGCCTAGACTTAGAGAGGAGAGGGTAGTGCGTGCGACAGTTGTCCGTCCCAGCACTTTTTCCACAAACTTCACCTGTCTTTCCAGGGTCAAGCGACAGAGCTGGCGACAAAACACACAGGCTTAGCTCCTAGCGTGAGCAATCCCCAGGCAGACATGCAATGCATTGCACTGATCGCTGTAGTGCAAAGGAGCTAATTAGCAACAGCTAGCTAGCCCAGCAGAGCAGAAGTATTCGTAGTGAGGTAAAAATCATAAGAACTGAGGGATGACTGTGATGACCAAGGTACATATGTGCAGGTGGGGCCCTGTGCATGTCATCACAGGTCATCTGCCTGAAGGTGTGAATAGAGGGGGCATCATATCCCATACTTATGTGTCGTAAAGAGTGAATCGACTGAAAGGGAACAGGAAACTGAAGCTAAAACCAAAATAGGCTCAAAAAAATTAGGATATTAACATATTAAGCACATACTATGACAGAGAATGCTTAAGTTACTGTATCATGAGATAAAGTATGCAGCTTGAAAGTTTTTGGGTTCATATTTTTTCCACTGGCTTGGTTTGGTCTGTTGCTGCAGCATGTTAAAAGGAGTCCACTTTTAATCTTTATTCTATAAAAAGCTTTGGTAGATAAAACGCAGAAGCTTATTAGCAGTTCAGTTTCGTTAGTAAAATGTGGTAAAAAAGAGAAAATGAACATGTTCCACTTGGTTAACTCTAAATATTGGAGAAAGACAGGATTGTAAACAAGATCATCTATAGAAAATTGACATTGCTAAGTAGAGCCTGCCCAGTAAAACACCAAAGTCTTTGTGACTTCTAATGAAAAGTGACATGGGAACTTATTCAAACATGAGACGATATTCACACGAATGTACCCAACAAAGTTCCTCTCTGAGTGAGACTACAGAGAAAGGAAAAGTGTATAAAATTTAAATGGGAAATTAATAAATAATCAAAAGAAGATGGAGAGGTAACTGTGATAGAGATAACCGGAAAAAGGATGAGGAGGATTTGCTGTGTGTACATGGAGCAGACGGAGGGGTGGGGTATAGGCCGAGGAGCAAAGAAGAAAGGTTACAGAGAAGGGAAAAGAGGGAGGAGGGAGGAACAAAGGATTTGCAGATGAAAGAGAGAAGGGATGATTAGGGATCTGGAAACTGACATGTATGGATTTGACACAGTATAATTGGTGTTAGGGGGGCTAAGGCAGAACAGTGAGAGGAAGAAGAAGCGGGTGGTGGGGGAGGCAGAGAGGGGCACAGACAGGAAGGACAATAGAAAAATATGAATACAAAGAGAAAGGAGACACATGTAGAGAGAGATCGGGAAACCAAATTAGAAGATGTAGTACAGAACCAATTTATGTTCGGAGACAGATTCATTCTTCCATTACACACCTGACAGTCACAATCCCTGAACCCAGGTGCATAATGTTGTTCTAATCATCATTTTTATTACTATTATTTATATTATTGAACTTTTAGTTTAACCTCCTGAGACCCGAACTCTTTCATGGCATTCATGTTTAATTTCTCTTTGATATTTCGACATATTGGGACCTGATGAATGTAAAAACAAAGAATTACCAGATTGTTTTCTTTCTTTTTTTTACCCGATTTCTGTTTCTAAGAAAAATGAGATCCACATATGAGGATATTTGTTTAAAATTTCGATAGAAGAGTGGCAATATAATGTCCTCGTAAGTGGATGTCAGGCCCTTGTAGAGCAAAATTTTGTATTTTGGTCTGGACAACCTAAAATGTGATGTCCACATATGTGGACGGCAGGTCCTAGGAGGTTAAAGTTGATTAGTGATAAACATCACACACAACTTTTGTTTTGTTTTTTCTTATTAGACTCCATTAACGGATAGAGTTTTTTCGGTAGGGGACTTGTCTTCTACACATTTGCCGATCTCCTTCACATTCAATCGTCATCTTGCAGATTAAAGTGAAGTACACGGTCCCGAACAAAAGCAAAAGTACCTGGGGTGATCGAACCTTTCAGACTGTGTTATATGACCTTTGAATTTCTCTGTCTGCTTCCCTCAGATCTGCCCATGTGGATTTTCTTAAAAGTCAGCTTAACTTTTAATTTTGGGCAATGGGTGTACCAGATTTGATTTGATTTTTTAACATTTGTAATTCTTCATTACTGCTATATTTTCATGGTCAAGATGACCTGCTGAAGTTCAAACCAGGGATCACAATGAGCAAGAAAGACTGACGTGGCATGCTGGTACTAATACTAGGATATACCAGGATCTTCCTGCATCGACCTGAGTGGAAGGCAAAGGTAACTCAAATAACAACTTGTTACAATCAAGTTATGAAGACCACAACCACTACATCTTACAGCAGCTGAAGATCACATCATGTGGCACTGCTGTTGGCTAAAACAGGAAACTGACATTACAAGTTACACAGCTTCACCAAAACTAAACTGCAGCAATGCATGGCTGGGTCAGAATTTGGTGTAAATGCAAAAGCTTGGATCAGTCCTGCATTATAGCAGTTCACGCTGCTACTGGTCTCCTGATGCCTGCTTAAATTATCTCAGGTTGGTTGAACATGACAATGATTCAAATGGCCTCCACAGTCACAAGATCTATGTGGTGAAACAGATCGTCTTCCATATGAAATCTGCAGAAGCTGTGTGACACCACCGTCTCTGAGAAATGTTTCCAGCAGCTTGTTGAAACTAGGCCAAGAAGAATTTAGGCATTTCTGGAGGCAAAAACACTAGCAAGGTGGACCTAATAAAGTGGCAGATGAGTGTATATCCTGTTGTTATTGCAGTTCTCATCCAATAAATGCTCCCCTGCTTTGATATTCCAGTGTTCTCGCTTTTCTAGCTGTTAATTTTGTATTGTTTCCATCCATTACTCCATTATTTCATTGCCTTTGTAACACTTGTCTGTGAATACATAAATGCATTTTGCTTTTGCTTTTCTTTTGCTTGTCATATAAATTTGTCACATTTTAAACTTCTTTCAGAGTTCAAAGGGTTATGGCACTTTGAACTTTACTGAGTTAAAATCAAGCTTTTAAGCCTCAAGGCTTTTTGATATTCATGAGTGGGTGTCAGTGGGTGAGGTCACCAGTGACATTAACCTCTCTGTGTTGCAGTGGGTTTTTTTTAAGCAAATAATAATAATTTAAAAAAAAAATCTTAACTGATTCAACTCCCACTATTTTCACCTCTGAGGCTTGCATTTTGCATTAAAACGCTCGGCTCTTTTCACTTAAAAGTCTCAAATAAAAACAACATTTGGAGTTATGACTAGTGGCAGGAAGGGAGTGACTCAGCCTCCTAATTCAATTTAAGCCAAACTGACACCTGAATGCAAACATATTCAGTGTTGTTATGTTTAGCTGAGCGTGCTGTCACACACAGTGCAGAAATAAAGCAGCTGAAATGCAGACAAAATGAGATATACTTCCTCGTTCAACCACAGGATGATTCAAGGATGCTTTGAAAGCTATAGTGATTTAAACTAACTGCGGCTCAGCAGTTTTAATTAGCATCTCTCACACACAGATATCAAGTAAGGACAACAAAAGGTTAGCTGTTAGTTCTGCTCCCTTTTTGCTTCTAGGCTTCAGGCACCACTTC